GTGTAGTGTTGTGGATAGTTTTGTGTTGTGTGTCAGAACAATACGGTGACTGTTGTCTCCAGGTAGAAACAGGAGTGATACACCTGCTGCTGTCAGACCTGCAGGTATCAGGCTGTGATGTTCTCCTTTATACCGGACAGAAATTTTTAGAGTGGCACAAATAATTTGTGTGGCATCTTATTGAAAAAGGGGTGAAAGGTAAATGGCTGCAAAAAACTTTGTGGTTTGTAAAACTTGTGCATATGATTTTAAAATTGACCATTTATACTTGCATTTAAAGTTATGAAATATGATTCATTAAATATGTTTGTGGTTGTAACAGCAAAAAATATGACTTTTTCAAATCGGATTTTATGTTTTTTGTCTGACTTTAGATCAATACAGTGTGTCAAAATGAAAACATAACTGTACATAACATAACCAGAGGGTTAAACTTTTTTTCTTTGAAGTAAAGCAATAGTTATTTTTCAAGTAATTAATTACTTTTAGAATATTGTAACTCAGTTACTAACTTAGTTACTTTTTTGAAGAAGTAACTAGTAACTATAATTAACTACTTTTTCAAGGTAACTTGCCCAGCACTGGTTGTTAAGCTGTAATCAGCTTCTCTGATTACTTGATTGGAGTGCTCTGGGATCTGTATCAGCCAATAGCAGGGACCATGCACTGAAGTTTTAGATAAAATAAACTAATCAGAAACCATTAAATGCCTAACCAGCCTGTTCCAGGGATCTGTGTCAGCCGATCCCTGGGACCGAGCACTGAAGTTTACATAAAATAAACTAAGCCAAAACAATTAAATGCCTAACCAGCCTATTCCAGGGATCTGTGTCAGCTGATCCTTGCGACCGTGCACTGAAGTTTTGGATAAAATAAACTAAGCCGAAACCATTAAATACCTAACCAATATGCAAGCTTTAAATCTGCCGTTTATCAGGCATATCAGGCATAGTAGAAACAGTGTGACAAACTGCACACAGAGTTTGTGTGTTTACTGGTGTTTGTTGAGCTGATAGAAACGCTGAATTTGAAATTAGCTGCAAC